TGTGCACACTGGAGAGAACCAGGCCTCAACCCATGTAAAAGAGCAACATGGAGAAGAGCGCATGAGCAACAATCCTGGCCTCCCTCAGTGGATTTTCCAACCCAGATGGACATCAACCGGGGGGGGAGGCTACAAAGGCTAGCAATAGAGCCCAAGAGAGTCAAGAAAGCAGACTAAAAGGAAGCACACAGAGCTATAAGAAGTGCGTGAACAGGAGAAAAAGAAAAAATGGTCAAAGAAAATGAAAGGGTGAAAGAACAGGAGATAGGAATGCAATCTTTGTGTTCTTATGAGGTGGGGGTAGAGGGGTGGAAGGGAGGGTTTGGCTAGTGTGCATCCTCTATCTGCTGCCTATCCGCTGGCACCATCTGTCTCGGGGCTTGATGACAGCTCCTGATCATGTGATCTTGCCATGTGACTCGGCAATCTTTTGAAGAAACTGCTGGCCTTTCATGTTTTACATCCTAGCCCCAAGCCCAGAAGCAAAAAGCTAAAAGGACAATAAAGGAAACTGTAGCGTGTAAGGGCAAAGTAGAAGCCACTAAATTCCACATATCATGTGGACATGAATGGTTTGGTTTTTTCCTACCCGCTGAGGAAAGAAATAAAGTATAAAGCCAATTCTAATTTCGAGCTCCATATCTTATTTTTGAGAAGCACCAGGATTAAAGAATGCATTTAAAAGCAAAACAAACATAAGATGAAAGAGCCTCCTTAAGAAGCATGAGAACAGCAAAGAGGTTCATCTTTAGTGTAACTACCTATCAAACTATTTCTGGTATTTAGCAAATTATTCAAACCAAAGGCAGTTTCCCTTTCATTGCCGCTTTCTATCCACTTATTAAAGAGTGGTGAAAAAACACCATTTCGCTCCCTCCACTTGTCCACATTTCTCAATCCATTCTTTACCTCTTGGCTTTGGGGACTAAGCAATCTCAACAGTAACAGGTAGAAAGGGAAGGGCCCCACATTAGTTTCAAGCTAGGAGAAAGGGCACAAAAATATATGCTTGTTAGTTTAATTTCAAGCAGGCATGTGGGGATGTGCTTGTATTTAACTTCAGGTAAGACGAACAGAAAGATCTGCATCTCCACCTGCTATATTTAGCCTACCTCCCTCCTTTAAGATGTGTACTCTTCTCCAAGAATCTGACGGCATCTAAACACCCTACCTTTGTGTCTGCATAAACATCGTGGCTACTTCCTTTAAGAGTCACAATGGCACTCTTACCAACTAGTTTTTAACTGAAACCAGTCACACTAATGGTTACACACTCAAGATTACAACTGCACAAGTGTCTTGTGTCTAACTAACTCATTTTCCAATCATAAAATATGTATTCCTGCTTCTCTCAGTCTATCAGGGAGATCGCCTACTTTCTGATCCTGCATGCAAGGGGCAGGAGCAGCTGCTGCAATGAACAGTACACAGACAGAAACACCGCTCTTAGCAACAACAGCGGCAAACAACTAAACCTTCAAGTGCGGTTACGCTTCGCTAGAGTCGATACAATACAGGCATGCCATCACTCTCTCCCTCCATCATGGCACTGGCTGGGAAGCTATGAGGGACGTTAATGGAAAAGCATCCCATGTCTGAATGAGAGATTACTGCCATTTCCTCAGACTGATGAAGCCCACCTTGTTACGTCTCCAAAAAACCATCTGAAACACCTGACTCTTCTTCATGTCGATCTACTGTCCACTTGTCCATTTTAACTTATTGGGCGTTTTTAAGCGATAAAGGCACTTTTTAAATAAATAAATAAATAAATAAATAAAATGAATGCCAGCTTGCAATAAATACATTTATCAGAGATATCAGCATTTTATGATTTAATTTTTTAATTAGTTTGTTATTGCCCAGTTTGTCATTTTAGCAGACTCTTGAGTGTTTAGGTTACCATACGTACCATTGAGGGGAAGAGGGTTGTCCCCTCCTGGGTGAGGAAAACCAAGACGACCTACATAGGGAAACACAATAAAAAAAATCTTTTGTTATATCATATAAACCTTCCTATAAAGCTATTATTATATTTTCACTGACCAGTTGAAAGAAAAATCTGTATTTTATTAAGAATATGAAAGATATAGTAATAAAATGGCTGTCACTAATGCGATGTCTGCCCTCCACACCAGCTACAGCCAGCTAAAAACAATGTGAGGCAAGACAGCACCACTAACACTATCAATCAGTACTTTGTATTTGGAAAAGGGCTGTTACCATAATAATCCTCTTGACAATTACAGCAGTGCACTAATTAAATTGCCGAGGGGCACTATTTGATCTATTCTGCGCATAATATAGGAACAGTTGGTGACTTTACTTTGTTATAAGTTTTTTTAAAGTGTTAATCCAGAGCAGGCTTTAGCTGGGACAGCTATGATCACAACCTTTGTTACCGCTCGCTGCATGTTTCTCCTACATCTATGGGACATCAACTATCTCTTTCCCTCTTATCACCTCGTTATTCTCCAAGCCTCATGCTATAGATTTTAGCCATTTGCCAAGACCCTCTTGCATATGCACACACCCGCGCCTACACAAACATGTTATGATTCCAAACAAGCTTCGAAGTTATGCAAGGCCCACTTGCTGCAGAGGGATAATGACATGAAAGAGCTCAAATAGTACGACCATTGTTGAGTGGGTAATGAGTGCCCTGTGATTGGTGCATTCCAACGCCTTGGTCACATGGAAATGTGTTGGCTCCTCCCCCCATAGTTTGCCTAGAACTATGGGGGGGGAACAGAAAAAAACAGAACCCCGACTCACAGAGCAGAGAAACCAGGACAGACCACCTGCAGCTTTGAAACATGCCGCTCGATGATAATATTCGACTGTGTAGCGCACCCATCATCATTATCTGAATAAAAATGCAATAAAATGAGTTCAATTTAATCAAAATAAGCTCAAAGGTGGCAACCAAACCAAACTAAAATCCTCTGGACTACAATTCAGACCTTAGTGATGTGATGACACTAAGGTAAAAGTCCATCTGAGCACCACCTGCTATTCTGAATTTTAAAGGGCTATAATGGTCTCCGAGGATCACACGAGTAGGCACCATATCCCTGTGTGTCTGCAGGACTGTGCATGCCCGCTCTGTGAACCTGATTTGCATGCTCCTGGCTACATGTGAGTACAGTACTGTAACAGTTAAAGCACATGCATGCAGAGCACACAAAAGACGGGGGGCGTGTGTGTGTGTGCATGCATGGGGCGGGTGAACAGAGGGATCCTTTCTGTCAGTCAGGACAATGCTGGAAGGGATTCAAAGCTCCTTGTACTGTAGACATTTTGTCTCGCCCGCTCCCTTGCTTCATTGCTCTCACTTTGTTCAATATGTTAAGCCGGAATGAGAAATTGCTGCCCTGCTTATGTGCATCTAAATGTGCTTGTGTATGAATTCTGCCACAGTTTGTTATGTAGATGCATGTATGCATGTGACGGAGAGAAAGAGCAAAAACTGGCCCGGAGAAGAGTCGCTGTAATTATAATATAATATTTGTTATGCATCAAATTATTGTCTAAAATTATTTACTTTTTGTCATCTTTCTTCAGACAAGCTTTGCAGACAACGGAAAAAATGTAAACATACCTGACCACACAGAAAAAGGTTCTGAGAATGCCACTGAGCTAATATTAGCATCAACGAAGCAGAGAACATCTACTTTACATGTATTATAGGATGTATACATATCATATTCTATCATATTTATAGGAAGTTGGGCTTAAAAATCACTTCTGCAAACCAGACTATGCAGTATTTTGAAATTGTGATGAAGTTATGTAAAGCAGAAGCTTGGTGGTTTTTAGAAGAGAATTTTGACTTCTCTTCCTGTGTTTTCTTGGATCCATCAGTGGAGCTAAAGCACCAAAACATGTTTAATGAGGCAGACTTCTAGTTTTCTTCTGCTGATACTGAAGAAACATTTACTAAGATTTGACAGCACAACATTATACCGCCACTGAGCCCGATAGGTCTGAGGTTTAAAGAAGTGATCTTACTGTAGCATCCCATACTTAAAAATTTCTTTAAAACTTTTATTTTGTATTTATTCTGCTAATAAACTGATGTGTATAGTAAGCGTTTTTATGGAACATAAAGCTATGCATATATTACGCACGACATCGCTCCCATTTAGAGATTTTTTATACCACATTTTTACCTCATAAGAAGACTCCTATCAATTTCTGGTCCTTGACTTAAAACTTGTACAACCTAACAAAAACAACATAATCATTATCTAAGTCCTCTGTCCTATTAAACTACTATCAAATATAACAGACAACTTTAACTGTATAGTTAGTTACCTTTTACGCTTAGCCTAAGCCTTGAGAAATCAAATGTGCTTCCTTTCAAACAATGATCATTACTAAGAACTTCAGCTCTATCCTCTTAGCCAACACTCACTATTGGCCACTGACTAACTTTTCTGTAGTCAGATTATTTCTGTGAGCGTCACCCTTTAAAACAATGATCATTAGACTCCTGTAGAATTTAATATCCAATTTCTGGGTTATGATAACTGGTCAGCAGCACTGTTTGCTATCAAATAAATGTTTCCTTTTAATGCTAAGACCAATACTGTATGTTAAAAAGTATCATTGTTCTTGGCAATGTCTACACCAACATGTTAAAAAATTAGCATGCAACTTCTTCAAACTTTTTGGACCAAAACTATTTCACAACACTATTTTGCATGAAAAGCTTAGCAGCAGCGATCATTAGAAAACAACGACAGTGTCAGTTCAGTTCAGCGAGGGCTCTCCCATCTCTCATAATTCCCATTTAAATAAAGCCTAAGCCCTCATGAATCTCTCTGCATCTGCTTCTTAAAATTCATGAGAAAGAGGTTAAACTAGAGCTGGGCGATAGAACGATAACGATATGTATCGCGATATAACTTTTACTCGATAGAGAAATTAAACTATCGCGATAGACCTCGCCGCTCTTGTCTTCTTAAAAAAAAAAAAAAAGATCAGCCAATCCAAATTAAGTAGCGCAGAGCCGAACCAATCACAGCCGCAGCGTCACGTCGCGTGACTTGTAACGTACAGCACAAGTGCCAAGCCGCACGTGTGTTTGTTTGGGAAGCAGCCAGCGCGTAATGGTGGAAATGAGTGTGCCGACTAGAAAAATCAACCGAGCGTGACCGAAGAGAAAACAGATGATGGTTCCAACGCCGGAGAGATTGTCGAACGGAAGAGCCATAGAAGTTCCGTAGTGTGAAGGTATTTCGGCTATTTCAAGTCTGACAAAAAACAGAGTAGCGTGCACTGTAAATTGTGCCGAAAGCAAGTCTGGAAATACAATAAACTGGTGCATGCGTCACACTGTGCGCCACGTTATTGTTTCGGTGAAATGAATTTCTACAATACTGTTAATTCTACTCTCTGCAGTGTTTAAATGCTTACATATACACACAGTTACTGTCCGTCCACACATACGACTCGGTTCTGCTTCTATGCCCCAGCTTTGTTTACTTTTTCCCACCGAGGCGTCTAGACTTCTGATTGGCCAATATTTCTGCACGGTTAGGAATCTAGCGCCACCTGCTGCTTTGGTATGTTCATAGCAGTGTTTTCCTTCATTTCTGCCTTTATGTGTGGACGGGATTATTTTCAGTTCAGTTTGTACACTTTGTGTTTTTAAATCTGGGATGCCACGGAAGTAGCTTTGATTGAAGCAAGCAAGTAATTTATTTATATAGCACTTTCAGATCAGCCCCCAGTTGAACACAAAGTGCCGTACACTTGACATGCCAGAAATGATACATTGAACATGTTAAAAAATAAGAAATAAAAAAATAATATAAAATAAATTAATTTAAAAAAATAAATAAATAAGATGATTATTAAAATGACATTTAAAATAATAAAATTAGCACAAATAGCAAAAACAATAATAAAATAGTATAAAAATGATGATGAGAATTACATTTAAAACAACTGACACTATTTATCTTATGGTTCTTTTTGCATTGCCCCTCAGTTCATCACCGTTTCTATGAAACAAGCTCACTTAAATGGACCCCTCTTCCTAAAGGCTCACTTTATGCTGATCGTGCAGTCATCTGTCAATATAAAAACCATCAGATTCAAAACAATAGTGGGTAAAAGTGCTTTTGAAAACTGCAACTTGTGGACACCACAAATATGTGCAGCAACGATGGCTACGGCTGGGCGTCTGTGTTTTGTAAATATTAAATTCATTAACTCCTTATTGTGTTATATAACAGTGGAAAAGTAGGTCAGTCAACTATTGCTATACAGGTCCATGGGAATCAACTTGCATAAGAAAACGCTAACTGACGTGGAAAACATCTGCCATCAGGGAATACCATATGTAACACAGCAAGTAGAATATTAACAGCTGCACAGGAAAGGCACCTCTCTGATGCAGTTTTATGCATGCTTCGAATCACACTGAGAGCATTTCAAAAGGTTTAGTCTTTTATTTTGATAAATTACCAGATTCTCTGTTATTTACATGTGTGGTTTTGTCTCCTCCTGACCTGCTCTGTACAGCCTGATATGGCTTCCAAGCAAAAACAGACTATTAGACACAGTTTCAAGCAATGCCGTGTGTAGAGCTGCTTGTGAAATCCACTGCCGTCAGCTCTGGCATAAGCCAGAATGCAACATAGTCTCACCCAGCTGCATTTGTCGCACCCAGAATAATCGCATATATGGATATGACAGAAAATGTAAAGAAGAAGAATAGAAGCCACAAGGAGAATTTTGTTTTTGTTTGTCTTGGTTTGTGTTTTTTATGATGAGTGGGAAGAAGAAAGAAGGAAAAGGAAGACAGAGGTGTGAGCTGACTGCTACACACTGTGGCCTTTCATAATATCGCCGATGATAGCACAAAAAGAAGACAAAGCCTCTACATGGCTGACCTGTGGAGGAGGTGAAACCTCTCTGCTAAAAACTGAGGCGTTAACTGATAAATTATTGTGTGTGAGCTGTTGTTCCTTTGTGCGGCCAAATAAGCTACAATCCATAACAAAGACAAGTGTTTAAAGGTAAAGCCTGCTTGCACATTAACATTTTTTTCCTCTTGTTTTGCACACCTTATATGAGGAAAACTGCCAAATGCAAAATAACGAGTGTACTGCAAAGTGTTTGCATGTTATATTGTGAAACTCATTTTCAGCGAGGTCAGTTAACATGCACTGAATAACTATTGCACGCCAGCCATTTACTGGACAAATAATGACAAGATCAGTATCATAGTATGTGTGCCATCTGTGGGAAAATATGATGCATCTAAAGATAAAGGTCCATACAACTACCTCCAGCGCATCACAGGTTTTCTAAAAATACAGACATGCTAAATGGGAAGCATACACTTTCAGCATATACACTCATTTCCTGTACTGAATCCATAGTAAAAAAAAAAAAAATTCCCTGCCTATAGAATAGTGAAAAATGTATGGTTGCTGGAAGTTGTAGGCTGATGCTGGGAGACATCTGTCGCACCAAAAACCTCCTCGTTGGTCACAAACAGATTGAAACATATTGCCGCAACCAACACATTTCAAAAGGCGAAACCTTTATGCTGGAGACTCACTTTTTGCTAGCGACTGGTGGTTGTCAGACATTCACCAACCAGTGTCTAGGCCTGTGTGACTACAGCCTTCTATGAAAAAACAGCTCTGCTGTTAACGCAATGTCAAATTAAAAACAGAAAAAAGGAAAAAAAAAAAAATGCTGCTGGTCTGCTTAGTGTTTCATGATCTTGATTGACAACTGGCATCTTTACCTTTCAGGCTGTCCTGCTCAGCTCTCATGATGTCAATCAGGGAGCTCTCCAGAGTGTTCATGTTGAAGCTGTCAAATGACCTGGTGCGCTCCTAAACAGAGGAGAGAAAAAAGAAACACTGTGTCACATTTTTAGCCTGCTTCAAAGACATGCAGTTAACACAACTATAAAAAGAAATGTGGTAACCAATGGTGTTAATTGTTAAAGCGGAGCAACGAAGAAATTGCCTTATTAATGCGACAATGACTTGGTTAATATCTAAGCTTGCCAAAGACTGTCTTGCCACAAGACAGACATGTTCACTCTTAACTTAGAAAATTTACACAATGGTGAAAACTTCCCGCAATACTTAAAGACTTTTGACCAAAAAGAGTTTAAAAAAGGGGAACAGTCACATGCTTTCCTGTTTCTTCTCACCTCACTTGAGCTTGTTTCAAAGAAAAGACTTGACAGAAAGCTTTGTTTCTCTCAATGTGAGAGACTGTACAGGTACACATAGACTTAGTATTGGTTTAAATCGTTTTAAAAGTAAGAAATGAGAAATAAAAAAGTTATAGCATTTTCTTGGCTCACGTTGTGTTCAGCTTTATTGTGTGGGCCCAGAAGGACTCATCCCAAAGTAGCTTAAAAATTATCTGTAGGTGTGTATCTACCAATGGGAAGAAGAATTAAATGTTGTTCTTTTCTTTTATTAAATCTGGCTTTTGCTCTCAGCAGTTGATTTCTCTCATCTTATAAGATGCTGTTATGTGCTTAATTACTATGTGTTTAATTCAACCCTAATTTCTTTTCTTGCATGTTTTTGTGTGCTTTTCCTGCTGTGCAACTTGCAAAGTAAACACAAGCAATAAACAGACTCGTTCAATGAGGCAACATAATGAAATCAAGAGAAAAACAAGCAGTCAAATGGAGCATGAGCCAAGCAAATTCCTGGGCAAAAGCTTCGTCACCTACAACAAGGGCATCCTTGGCATATCAGCCAGCCACACTGGATATAATTGTATGCACACACAAATACGTGTTAACACGCACACACCCATACGATGTGTATATACAAAATATTCTCACACTAAAAACATGTACCCATAAACAAACACACACACTCCAAGTGGCATGCTGATAAGGTTTCAGTGCAGACTCCACCTCAGCCAGACAAAATATGCAGTCTTTGTCAACAACTTCTAAAGGAAGTGATCAACTCTTTGGGTTTCCCTTCCTCTGAAAGAACCAAAAGTTAAATATGAAATGATTATTATTCGCATCTCGCTTTTCAATGTCTCATTGCTTCCTTCCTCCTCCTTCACCATTTTCCAAGCCATTCTCTAACAAATACCAACTTCAAAAGTAGAAATGCCTTAAAAAACCTTTTATATTCCTCATGCATGTGTCAGAGATCTCATACTTGACAAAGGCAGCAATTGTTCTAGCTAGAAGTTGTTGTTCATAGGCTGTACCCTATGACTAAAAAGTTTAGTCATGTTTATTCTCTCAAAACTTGGTCACGACTGAATATGCATGCCCTACTTTCAGTTTGGTATCTAGTCCATCGACTACTTGATTATTTAAGGGATTTTTTAAATGAGAAACAATCTCCAACTAATTTGTAGAGCGGCACTCAAAGGAAATCAACCGTTAGCATTTCGTGTAAATATGTAAAAACATAAAATAGATTAGTACAATTTAACAAAAAAAAAAAAAAAAAAAAACAGGAGAAGGAATGGCTGCCTAACTACTAACTGTCATGCTTCTAAAATAACAATGCCAGAACACACCTGATGTGTTCAGGTTTAACGCTGTAAAAACATCCACTTAGAAGCAATTGAACCTGACAGGATGATTGACAGATTAGACTTCCAAACCATGTCAGCAACGCAGTGTTAAAATAACAAAAGCATCAGTGTGAAACAATGTGGCCTGTTTCTTTTTAAACCTAATCGGCGGACAGTTCAGATGAAATGTGGAAAGCTCTAAATCCAAATTTAAAAACTATAAGCAAAGTAAACAGTAAACTCATACAGTTCAGGTGTAGCAACAGTTCGAATGATGGTCAGAAAACTTCTGCCTCGAGAAAAACGGAAGAGAAAAGTGTTAAATAACTGAAATAAAGCATGACACAGAAACAAGTTCACCGTTTCAGACAAAACAGAGAAAACATCCTGACAACAACACTACATAGTCAGCTCTGCCCTGGGCCTGACTGATAATGGGCAGAGAATTACCCATCATGTCACTAAGGCTGCATTATCAGTCCTTCTTTAAATTTACTATGTTGTTTCTTCAGCAGCAGCTATGCAAAGATCTCTGTTGTTAAACCAGCAACCAATTCGAAGCCTAACGGCAAACTGCAGGCAGTGTCAGAAAAGACTAAGAAATGTTCATTGTCCTTTGTGTTACCATGCTAAAAGGCTCAGAAGAAACACACCTATCCAAGTGAACTACACTTCAAGGGTTGACTAGGAGGGCAACACACTTTTTCTCTTTTTCCTCATTAATCTACCGTCCGGTGTCTGGAGTTGTTCACCAAAATTCAATATCTACTATCTGATCGGCTTGAAGAGCGTGGTTGGGTATCTGGCACACTTGGCTGGTAAAACAGCCAAACTTCCCAGCTGTAGCCAAATTTCTTACCAGCATTTGAGCTGACTACAACAGAAACAACACTGTGGCAGAACACACCCAATGCACTAACTCTCTCTCCCTCAAAACAAATATCAACATGGGGATACAGGCCAGATTGTGTCCACCATTTTCTCATATCCGCTTCAGTATAATATGTGCACTTGCGCTATTGCCTAAGGACAAATAAGTCAAACACTCCAAGGCAAGGGATGCAGAAACAGAGTCCAGGTTTGGTTTCTGCCTTAAGTATACAAGGGTAATGAGTATATTCCAACATGACGACAAATGCATACAAATAGGAAGCGGACAATGCTGTACGCATTTTTGGATTCGCACGCTTTGTGGCATCAGTTTATTTACCATCATATGTGGGCGGTGTAGTATGACAGGGTAATTCTATTATACTGTTTCTGGATAATACAAATTCATTTTGTGGCTGAGATGGACTCAGTATGGTGGACTTGAGGCCTGGCTGGTTCTCTGCAGTTGCTAAGCATTAGCCTGGAGAGTGATTAATCATCAGATTTCTGCATCTCACTCGCTCTCAACAACTGGCCAGCTGTCCAGCAAAGAGCTTATCCCTGACAGATTGCAAGCATGCACAGATGCACGCACATTAGCCACAAGCAAGAAAAATGACGGTTTATATGGTAGTTCTTGTAATCTATGAACACGGCCTAATGCATTCACTTAAATTTGCATGCAGCCCATTCACACTGCAAAATCATCTCTTGCAGAAACGTGTAACCCTGAAGCAGTCTATTTGAAGCTGATAATGTAAACAGTGACAGTGCAGGGTTTTTTCCTTTTACTATGCATGATAGGTGTGAATTGTTGGTTGTATGCAGCAAGGCAACCTTACTCTACCAGGCCCGGTGCCATTTGCTGTTTGTTTGACACTGAATTAAAAACTATGCACCAAACTAATCATTTAAAATATTTGGACTATTATCCAGAATAAGGATTATGGAACACACAAAAATGGGCTTATTATTTATTATTCCATTACAATTACCTCTCAGATAATTTGACTTTTTCAGCCAGTAATTCTTATCAATCTAAAATTAATCAATTCTTTTTTTTCCCCTTTTCTTTCTTTTTTTGTTTAAATTGGGACCTATGCATTGTCTAAGAAGCTTATTTGAAATGCTTGACAAAAGCGTACTGGGCCACACATGATCAGAAATCGGTTCATCTGTCATTCAATCTATGGTTCATTAAATTCTGATATGGGTTAGCTTTACAACCAGTGCATAAAGTGCTGCACACAGCACACACTAGTTGCTTAACACTGACTGAAAAAGTAGTCTAGGTAGATCTGGGCTTTGTCATTCTGGGCTCCCTGGTATATTTACACAGAGTCAATTCCAATCAATTTTAGACATCTATAAAAAACAATGTCTATTTTTGACAGGAGATATTTATTTGGACAGGAGAGCCTATCATCGGCTCCGTCTATAACAGAGACCACCGACAACACGCTGCCTTTAATATCATAAAAGCTCAAGTCAAGCATGTTTGGAAAAAACAAAAAAGCAAACAAAACCAGGGCTGGGCCTGGCTACCACTGTGTGACTGCTCCCTCTAAACAGAATCTAATCTTTAGCAGCACCAAACTGAGCAACCTCCAACAGATTTTCATGGCATGTAGAGTCATCAAAGAATGATTAAATCCAACATGCTGTGGGTGATTAACTCTCAACATTAATCATCAATGTCATCTGGCTGTTAAGATAAAATGGAAGCTGTGGCAGGGTAAAGGGATGCACAACATAAAAGCAAAAAAGAGTAAGGATGTATGGTGATGTGTAATTTGTCAGGGCTGTAGAATTTGGAGGTTATTTAATAGTTCGCTTATATTCAATTGTCGGAAGGTTGAGCTTTTAATTACATCCCTGAGATTTGTAAAAGATAGAAAGGCCAAAGAAGGAAGGTAGATACAGCTGTTAAAGAAAGGGGAGAGCAAAAGTGAATAGTGAGGTAATTCATCATAAAAAGAGGAAAAATGTAGTACAGGAAAGTGAAACAAGTTGTTCTTTTGACACTTGTGATTATTTAATTATCACAAAATGAATATAAAGTTGATAAAACTCATTCCATCCATGTTTTGACAGGCAACACAAAAGTCCAATGACAATGAGAATAGCAGAGATTGAGCCATATCAGGTTAACGTGACCTGCAAAGCGTAGGAAGAGCAGCAGGTAGTGGCACATGCGCTAATGTCTGGGCTCCTGCAACCACGTACAGTAGAACGTCAGGAGTATGAGCAAGCTAAAGGACAAAATGACACCAGAAAATGTTAACGAAAACTCATGCATTACAGAGCACGACACCCCAGAGGACACAGTCCAAGGCTCAGAAGACTGGGACAGAACGGTTTGAATCAACAGAAAAGTATCGATGCCATTTTTAGTGATTTATTTTCCATTCTTAAATGTGGATCCATTTTATTTATTTGGAACTGACCAAAGAATTTAGACATTTGTTTGCGTTCTTCTGTCACAGAACTTTAACTGATTAGATTGTCACTTTGTTATATATACCTATTTCGTTTTAAAATGCAGACCGGAAATAAATATTTAAATCAAAATCAACCTTACATCATCACAAGTAAAAAGTCAAAATTATATACTGATCGATAGACTGACATTAAAGAAAAGAATTGTGATAAAAAAAATAAAAAAAAAATTCCACATTGCTCAGCTCTGGTGATTGTACTAAACAGTAATATTAACTACTCCCAGCTGCCAAAAACAACCAAATACACAGTGTTGTCTGAACAGTGTGTGCGTTTGGGTTTTAAAACAAGTGACAAAGGGAGGCGTTCAAGCAGTATTTGAACTGCTTGGGGATTAGATTAAAACAACTCACTTACTGTATGCATTCAGCAAAGCTACCTATAATAAGACACCTGAACATAAACTTTCCTTTATCAACTCTTTTTTGTTATATCAAATTTTGCTGAACACATATTTCAGTGACTAATTAGGGCTTATGCACACACGTATACACAAGTGCCCTTTCTTCCTGTTGCAGAGCGTCTGTCAAGGGCGTAAGAAGGGCACAATGAGGCTGTATGAGCAGGAGAGTTATGTGCTTGCCGGTGCACCGCTCATTAGTTAAAAAAAAAAAAAAAAAGAAAAAAGTTTTTTTCTAATTTAACAACACTGTCACAAGGACCAGTGGTAATGGTTTTAACCTTGGGCTTCAAATGACCGAGAGAATTTGTCTGAAATGGCATGACAGTTTTCATGCAGAACATCACAGGTAGGCAAGGAAGGGTACCTGAAAGGCCTGAGGCTTATCTTTAAAGCAAATTTCTCAGTGTCAGCGTGATTGTGTACAGGAACCATAAGGTGTTGTGTTTAACACAGGCAAATGGGCAGGTCTACAGTTCAATTACCTGATACGTGAGTATTCATACTCATATATACGTGTGTGTGTTTTGGGGTTAGGGAGTTAAAAATGTACTTTTGCCTTGTTTGAAATATATTATTAATACATCTGTGAAAAACCGCAGCAATAATTCTACCATTTCACCCCCAAAAAAGGGGTTGATCCATGCAAACCATTTGCCATTGCCACACCTGACATCCTAGTGATCCCACAAAAATATATCAGTTTAAGAATAAGCAGATCGCTCCAGGACACAAATGAGCTATGAACAAATAAAAATGAGCAGAAGAAAATTACTTATCGGAATAAATTCAGGCAATAATAAAATAACATTTAGCTTTGCTTACTTGCTAATCCAGAACTTATACTTCTGCTGTAAAGTGAAAGTTTTATTTCAGGAGTTCACAGTACATATATGAACGGATGTTCACACATACCTTTCTTAAATAGCTGCATTTTACTCTCGGTTTTATCAGGCACAAAGCAACAGGCCTTGCTTTTTCAGCCACTCTCATGGCTTTGTTTGTCTAACTTTTATTTACTGACAATTAACTCTGGACAGGATAGAGTTTACCCAACTGCACTTCCTCTAGTTCACACTCAATATTTTCTGCATCATATTTTCATTAAAGATTCAGATGTTAGCAGTTTTCACGCATGTACTGCAACCCTTGGCCTTTGTAGAATATAACCAACAAAGGTTCATGTAAATACTGAATATCATCTTTAGGCTCCTGAGCACCATCCGTCCAGTTATACATCCATCCATTTTCTTAATCTGATTCAGGATTGGGGTTGGGGTCTGAGGTCTGGAGACTCTCCCAACTGTCATGGTGTGAGAGGAGAGGTAGACCCTCGACAAGTCACCAGTATATAGCAGCACTAACACAGAGACAGCCAATTAACCTAACATGGATGTCACTGGACTGTAGGAGGAAGATTTAGTATCTGGAGGCAAAAGGGAAACATGCAGACACAGGACCTTCTTGCTGAGAGGCGACAGCTCTAACCACTGTGCCGCCCACTCCAGAGCTACAGTATTTTCCAAACATGCATCCATTTTCTTAACCTCTTATCAAATTCAGGGTCACAGAAGAGCTGGAGCCCATGTAAGCTGACGCAGGGCATCCAACTACAAATATTTAAAGCACAGGCTTATCGAGTAAAAACAAACGGCCTAATAGTCTAATATTCGTAACGCAAACCAGCTTACAACCCCGTGTACTGGTCATTTACAGGTCTGATTTTACATAAAAAGTAGCGTTGTTTTGGTTAAAGCGATATGTGGTTATCTTATCTTTATCTTATCTTAAAACCACACTCTGCAAAGATTTTCTGGACATACACAGACAGTTTTAATAATGTGCCTTCAGATAACAGCATCATTATTTCTAAGCTGCACAAACAGTCAGGAGCGCTGTAACCAACAGTTACCCAGGTGGCTTACTGAGGCAATATCCTGTGCTGGCTTCTCTACCTCAGACCCTGCAGGTCTTGACCTGGTCACTGGCCAGATTTACCAGTCTGAAACCACTCAGTACACCTGACACAGCAGCAGGCTTCTGACCTTGAAATTCACGGGTGAAGAATTAGAGGACAAAGAAGGAAAGAATAACAGATAGAAGAAGACGAAAATAAAGACTTCCCTGACATTTAAAAAGTACACATTTCTGGTCAAAGGTTATTTACTAAGTGAACTGTGTGCTAGCGGTTAGCAGCAGTGTGTCTGGATAGTTAACCACTGTAACATATCTGACTGGTTGCATACTATTGATTTATTGTGTTTATGTGCAGCGAGTTTATAGTGCAAAGGTCACAAAAGTACTGACTTACAGAAATCATCTATGTTACCTGTTTACGACATTAAAAATGCACAAAGAAGCAGATGTTGTGATGAAATAGGAGTTATTTCATCAAACACAGAAGGCCTGAATAATGCCCAACTGATCCTTCATCTGTTGTGTGTGCTAAAACTCCAACAGTTGAGGCTTACAGGAGAAGGGATGTGACACAGGTCTGTTTAGTTCACAGTTACACAAACTACAGTGTTTCATTTACCAAATCCGGGAGTGCCTTGTGTAAGACAACTTGTGTAATTAGTCATCTGAACAATGCCTGATCTCAACAAACATTGACAAGAACCATTTTAAAAATGGTTTTAAAGAAAGCAAAACAAAGCCATCTTTCCCATAACTTCCTCTGGAGTATTACTCTAGCTACGGGAGTAAATGGATAGGAAACTGCTTAAGGCAACTGATCAGACGGATGTGGCAATTTTCATGTCACATGTATATGCAAGCATGGATAATGAAAGCCAAACAACACTTGGATAGATGTATTTAAGAGTGAAATATACAGAGAAGGCACTGGCAATTAAATGTGACGCTTGGTTGGCTGTGCAGTAATTTAACAATGGTTTCTACAGTAACCACTTCACCACAACATCATGACCTACAGTACATGCTCACACCAAAATGAAACATTTCAAGATTCGGTTGTTTTGTGGTGGATCGAAACTGACAAAAAAAAAAAAAAAAGAGAAGAAAAACAACTGATGTGATTCAGAATTTGACAGACTTATAAGCAAATCCTCATTTACATGTAGTAAACTATCTCAGTTGGAACAAATCCTAATATCCACATGAAGTGCATATGAAGTGAATGTTCCAAAGCGGCTGCATTACACAATGCAACAAGCAGCACTGATACAGATCTGAGTGGAAGATGTAACTACGGGCAAAACAATACCGATCCACATCCACGCAAAGCGAGGCGAAAACAAATCTGCGTGAACTGATCGTGTCCGACTTGCCATTACGCCACCGTGCATATGCTTGAAAAGTACAGATTCACGAAGGAGATGTTCTTGAAGAAAAGAAGCAAAAGTGGAGATTGCGGCAGGTTTCAAACTGAGCTTGAGGACTATAAATATACACAGCAATTTCTTAACAGTCATTGTTATCCTTTGTTGGTTATTGAAACCTATATTTTAAATGTGTTGTTATTTTAAAAAAGGAGTTACACTTACATAATCAGTCCCTCTCCCTCTCTCAGACATGCACACCGACAGGGAGGCCATTCTACGCCCATCCTCCATCTGCCCTTGCAGTATCAAGGGGGCAAGAGGACAATGCTACTTTAGTTGATCTGATTCAACCACAAGGAAGAACAACATACTGCAGCTACAGGAAAGCTAGCTTAACTCTAACACCGGGATGTAACAGTCAGGCTTCTCGAAATTGTTGCAGAAACCCAAATCTGATCTACAGGCTGTTTGACACCAGTTGTAACGCCAGTTGTAACGCCAGTTGTAACGCTTTTAACGCATTTAAATCTACAAAGCATGTTGGGAACTTCTTTCTCATTATACTTTTTCTGGTCTTTTTTTTTTTTTTTTTTTATTAAGCCAACAGCTTTTTTTGTACCATCCAACCATGCTAATCTGTAATTTTGTGCTCATGAAGACATAACAGCTGCGTATGTGCACCTCTGCACAAAGCAGGGAGGAGGATGGAGACAAAGTGAGACACAGGAGAGCCTCCCTCCTTCCAGCATGAGCAGAAAGTGATGCTTCTATAAGATCATTATAGTATTCTATCACTGATGACCCCGTTCACATATCACAACAAATGATTTTGCATACAGTAACTAATTAACTTAAGAGGACGGATATTAGCTGAACAGGTAATACAGAACTAGGTCACAACATTTGCCCAGTTATTTAATCAATTTAAGCTTTTTAAATCTTTTTGACATGTAAAAACTGTTAATAGAAGCAATAGGATGAAGTTATAAATTAGCTAACTACCTTGTTACAATTTTAGTTATCTTTTTTTAAACTACAATGCTAAATAAGTGAGCCACCATCCTTGTAATTATGCTGCCAGAAAACTAGCTAAAAGAGAGAGGATGTTCCTAATATTGTCCTCTTAAGGGAAGTCCACACAGCAAGTGTGGTGACAATCAGAGACCACAGAAGGTCACTGACATTTAGTGGCTTTAAGCAATGATGGGGTGGGAGCTAAAAAGCTCATTTCAAACGTTGGATGAACTGTACCAACACCCTGTACAAGACAAATGAGGATGTCTTAACTGAATCATGCAAAGCTAGTCTAGTGGAGTCCAAGAATAAAAATATGGAACTGTAAATGAGAATAACAGGCCCCCTTTAAATAGTCTCCTCATCAAAGCAAACTGGAACAGGTCAGACACGAACCTGGGCCGCACAACTACCTACAGCAATTAGCTGTTAACAACATTAATCCTAAATAGCTACTGAGAAGCATGTGCTCCCTCTCTAATACATGTCAAGACATGTCCGCACAACCTTCTGGCTGCTGAGCCTGTGGAGTGTTGAGTCATTAACTGCTAATGGGCAAGAAGAAAGGTCACAACAAGCATCACTTTTAACAGTTTTAAGTTACTTTGCATCTTAAGAGAATTTTGGATTCACTGGTAAAGAACGTGTTCAGGAAATCTGCAATCTATACGTTCAGTTATGATGTTGACAGGCTGCTGAATCTAAAAAGACATGCAGCCACCAGGACTATTTAACACGATCTATTTTCATCCATGACGACGACTACGACTGACACCAACTTGCAGGGACTTTGTCACAACGTAAAAAAGTAAAGGATATGTAGGGTACTTAAAGAAACATTTCACTGGATAGGCCCAGATGGGTCTATAGCCACCTCTGTCTCTTTCCCCTCCTCCTTATAACGACCAGCACAATCAATCACGGGCTAGATCAATAGAATGAATTTATCTCCAGGCCCCTCTACCTCTTTCCATTACAGCTGGTTTCTACATGTGACAGTACAATTATTTAAGCAGTCTTCATTGTATGTGGACCCAGCTTTTAAAATGAATGAACAGGTTGGATTTTTTTTTATTAAGGGGTGGCCACCCATGCCATGACATACAGTAAGTGATTAATGTAACTCTAAATCTTATAAATCATCAGACTCTCTTTTACACAGTGTAATAGGTCAAGAGCCTAATATATGCAAAGCATAAAGAACTGAGCAAGGTTCATGGATCTACAGTATCACCGTTTGTTGCTAATGGTTGTTTACGACTGGAACAAAAGCAATCTAACCATAATGTATTGTTATTCATCACTTAATGCAGATATAGTTTTTGACACTATTGTCTGTCGTTATACCCTCCATCGCCGTCTTCATTTTGTACCTCTCTCTCCCAGTCTCCCATTATAAAATCTTATCATTTTTTTTCTGTCCATGCTGTCTTCTCCCCCATTCCTATATGCGCCCCCCCCAATTCACATGGCACACACCACTGCAGTGACAGAGCCACATTAGTCATCGCAAAGGACGCTCAGCTACAGAAGTACAGAGTCCAATAACAGGTTTAACACAGTAGCAAAAGCATCGTGTAAATCTGTGCCCTCCTGCTGTGTCTAAAAATAGAAGCTGTACCACATAATGCTATAATATTAATAGTTCACATAAATGACATCCTGCTGTTTAATAATTCAGGTGATGAGCAGCGACAACTGAAAAATATTCAGAACCAGACATATACGCTGGACATTCATGCTTAGTATACAACATAATTGGGAAGAAAAAGAGGACAATTCCATACAGTTAGTGAAAATTCCCACTCAACCATCTGAATAAACATCTTAGAGGCAAACTGACCTGAAAGGGGAAGATGTTATCGCTGCGGCCAACTCCATCATCCATCCAGGACTTGGGGTTAAAGCCTGCGGGACTGTTTCGAGGGTACTTCTGGGATGCCACATGGTTGTTAGGGAAGGTCTTCTTCAATGGGGAGATAGAGTTAATGGGAGTCATCCCGCCATTCAGCCCGCGTCGATAATCTCTGCCTTGAGATCCTCCCCAGCCGCCACCACTACCATATCCTCCTCCGGGACTCCAGGAAGTGGAGGAGCCGGGGGAGGGAGAGGGACTCTGGTAGCTGGCTGGACCCCAGGGAGACGGGGGCTTGTTCAGGCTGTTGGACAAATGCGGCAACTGGCTGAAAGCTGCATTCCTGTGTGGGAAGGGCGGTGGTGGGTGGGGAGAAGCTGGAGAACGCCGATGCTGCTGGTGTTGGCTGTGGGGGTGCTGGAAATGGGGATGGGGTGGGGGAGCCGGGTGGTGCTGGGACAAGGCAGCAGCTGGTCCGATCTGGGGGGAGAAGTTCCCACCAAACCCTGGACTGACGTGGTGTGAGAAGTTCTGGAACAGCAGAGGCCCGTTACTGGCAGACGCCGGGTTGAAAAAGCTGACATCCTCGTTGATGATTGTTGATGGCGCAGGTGGGATGGCGGGTGACCAGTTGTTAAAGCCAGAAAGCGATGACGAGGTTGTACTGGACTGAACTGGGCCCGTACCCCCGAGACCAGATGTCTCCTGGTAATCAAAGCCTGTCAGAACAGGTGACTCAAGACGGAGCTGCTTCTCTTTTCCATTACTGCTGTCAGATGTGCCATTCTCTGTCTTGCCTTCCTCGGACCTGGCTTTTTCCAATTCTGAAATTATCCCAACGCCACTTCCACCCTCTTGGTGACTCCCAGGAGACAACTGCTGCTTTTCTTGCGTTTCTTGCATTTCCTGTTGCTGCTGTGCTTTGGGTTTTTCTGGCCCCCCCAGGATTTCGTCTTGCACGCTGTTGTGGGTGGCGGAGGCAGGGAAGAGCCAGGGAGAGCCTCCCGTGGTGCCATTCCCTGCGGCTGTGGTGCTGTTTATGAAAGCGGCAGGGCTCTGCGACACATTTTGGTGATGATGAGGGGGCTGCAGATGCGGGTGGATTCGGACCGGGAATGCAGACTTGTTGCCAGTGTTGTTTTGAACTAGAACTCCAAACCCGTAATCCCCCATTTGTTTTCTCCCCCCACAGACAAGTGCTATCCCGTGATCGTTTGGTCCTATGGAGAGAAGAGCATACAAGCATGGCATGCACTGAGTTAGCAGTCACCCACTCACATTAACCAACAGATCAAGGGATTTAGAAAAAAAACAACGAAGTGAGGGGACACAGAGGCATGGAAATCTCTTTATGTGTATGTTCTAAATGAGATCCTACACACATATAACATTCACTGTACTGTGGCTTTAGAGCTCATCCTTAAAAAAAGCCAGCCAGTTAACGTTACATCTTTAGCTAATTATAACCCCGTGACGTTGCCAGATTGTCTACAGCTGAGCTGCTGGCAGCCACCAGTAAAGCCAGAACCACTGCTGTGTCGAGCATATAGTCTCCATTTGGGGACGTTTTACTAACGAAAACCAACTGACAGGCAACTAATTATCACCCAAGAAACGCACATTAGCACAAAATATCAACGAAGGCTGAAAATATTGACAAAAAACCAACAAAACCGTCAAAAATAAAACACTCGACCTTGTTTGACAGCTGTCAGCACCCTGGGAAGAGCCCACTATCAAAATTAAGTTTATATTAATACGGCTTTTTTATCAGTCGGGCAAATTATTGTTAATTAATCGGTTTCACGCGTCGACGGAGAAGCAGTTTAAATCGCTGTTAGCTGACCAGCTAACTTTTCCATCCGTTGCTAACATTAGCTTGCTAGCTAACGACCGTTAGCACGAATGCTAGCTAGCTGGACAGGTTGAAGGCAAGCGAATAAAACATCTCCTCACCTTCTGATCACCACCTTTCGACCTCGGCGTCGTCTGTGTCGAGATCCTTTCCCTCGGGCTGAGAGCGAGACGGTGTCCTTGAAACAATGAGTGCGGCAGGCAAAGGTTTTCAGAGGCGGTTTTAGTAGCTGACTCGTACAGTGCAGTCGGTCAGCTCTTTTTTTTCTCTCTCCCTTCTCCTGACGTGTCCTGCCTGCTCAATGACACAGCTCTCTATCTGCTGCCTGTAATCTGGACCGTATCATCGAAGAGCTTTGTTAACGTGGCAGTGTGTGACTTATACTCGGTTCGTTCATAAAGCCTTATTCGATCGGTTTCATTGTTCGCTTTATTTTCTTTTCTTCTCACTAACTGTCTCTCCTTCAGAGCCAGCCGATCCTCTGTGTGTGTGCGTGCTTGCTTCTTGGCTGCCCCTCTCTCCTGGAACCGACCGTGGCCGAATGACAGCGAAAGATCAGCCGAGACACACTTCCGCTTCTGGGACGGCCCCTCTTCGCTTAGACCACGCCTTCACGGGGCCACACCTCGGTACGCGATTGGTTGGACCACCGGCAACCTCTCTAAAATTCTTCATCATTTAACAGCTATGCGCCAATAATATAACCACGCCGTGCTTTAAGGGCCTGCCCAGTCAGGGCAGAAAAAAACCCTCCTCCCATCTCTATCCTGTCTTTTCACGATGCAGCCTATATCAGGTCGTGAGAAAAATGAGAAACCCAACCCCCCCACCAAAGCTTCAGTAAAAGCGCATCCTTGGCTCGGGCTTTTTGATCCCTAGCTCATTTGTTGTGTGGAGATGAAACAAGGAGGTATGCTATCGTTTTTTTTGGTGGTCGTTTTGGTGTTCCTTTTCATGCATAACTTAAATGCAAATCTCGTCCTCTTCACACTGGCCACTGCACTCTGCAGTATTTTTCAGCATTATCATTTTTGTCAGATGGCTAGAGTTTCCCAATCAGTCAATCTTTATTCAGCACTCATTGTCCATAGAAAGAAATACACCCACAAAGAGACTACAGGAGTGCCTCCAATAAAGACTGATGTTTTGCCAAACCTGATATCCATTTAGCCCAGTGATCTCATTCTCAGGTGTGTTGAGCCTGAATATAAATTTAAACATGAGATTTCTTAATAAAGCTTTAAATATACTGATTCCAGCAGTTACAAGCATCTCACTTGCCATTTTAGTCTCTTTAGTAACAACCTCATGGCATCATTAAGCTACATGTAGCTCGCTTCCCTGTATTTCATCCACAGGTGTTCTGTATACAAATGTGTACAGTATGCTCTAAATGAAGAAATATTCACTCATTCTGTACATGCAGTAAATTTGCATAAGAGGATGTTCGCTTGAGCATACATTAACTGTCATGCCTATAAATATTGTTGTCATCTGTCATTGGATCTGCAGAAAGATCTGCAGGATATTTGATCTCATTACTGACAGTAAGATTATTATCTGACAATGTAAACTTTGGAAATCTGAGATAGATTTCCTCCTTAGTCTATATAGAATCTAGAAATCATATCGCTCTTACAGGCATTGCGAGTAATACGCAGAACATATGTGAAGTAGCTGCTGGAGAGAAGCACTACTAGGACTGAAGACCACAAGATCATCTGCATACATGATGTGGTTCACTAAATTTACAGGCTCTCATATTCTTTGACACATCATCGACATAAAGATTCAAAAGAATTGTGGATAAAATCTCTCCTTGTTAGACAAGGAGTTATGTTGTATACCAAAAGAAAAGCTGGTTAATGTAATATCTCCTATCTGTGTTACATCTGTACTCACACTGTCTTATAATAGGTTTTATTATGAGAAAACAGCCTATTCAATCCAAAATCAAAAGCAGCTGTCATGTAATCATACAGTTAAATATGTAGTGACAACCAGGAAGCAGATTGCTTAGCAAAAAAGCTTCATGGCTATCAAATTGTCCCGTCCACATTACAGGAAAAACAAAAGCCAGAAAGAGAGCTTTAAGTTTTTTAAACCCATTTCACCTCTCATCCAAGAGGCTCTTTCAGTTCAAAAACCAAAAGTCCCAGGTATTTAAGCCCTAATGCTGCTTAGGAGGTGGTCGTTGACACACTATTAATCACGTACGTCATCACATGAGACAAGGTGTGAAAAAAGGCGTGGGTCATTACCACCAGAGGTTTCAGGTGAAACCACTGTGAGACCTTGCCCCACCCTATCATGTGACCTGTTGAGGTTACTTGATGTGAGTCAGGGTTGAGGCACCTGCCGTAAGCCACCACCTCCTTCGATGATGGTCCTCCACAGTGGACATAGGTGGCCTCTTTTACTCCTATTTCAAACCATCTGTCACTCCTCACTGCACTGCGCAGCGTACACTATGTTGCTTAGTTTCTGTTTGGGAGCTTTGTTTTACGGATGAACAGGTTTATGTCCGAGGGTGTGGCTGGGTCTGAAGTACAGTATGTACTTGTGTACACGTATATGTTCCTTTTGTTTCCCTTCTGCCATAGGGAACATTTTCTGTCAAGTATGGCAGGGTCCTGATCACCCCAAGCTTGTGTTCCGGAGGGTGGTGGGAGTTAAAAGTACAGATTTGTGTATGTGGGCTTCCAGTGAACTTCAATGTTAAGGCTTATATCCTTGTCAGTGTGCACAGCACAGTCCAGAAATGACAAGCTATTATCCTTTGTACATTACACAAAATACACAAATCCATTATATTAGGCAGATTACAAGTGTCAGCTATGGTTCTATCTTGTGAACCAAACTTCATGTATGTAGTATATAAATGCTTTATTCATTAAATCCATCTGTCCGTCCGTCCATCCATCCATCCATCCATCCATCCATCCATCCATCCATCCATCAGTCTATCCATTCATTCTCTTTGGTTTATCCAATTCAGGGTCAAGACAGGGCAAGAAGCAGGGTGCCGATGCCATTTTATCTTCAAATTATTTTGTTTTGGTTGATTATTTTAATCATTTGGCACATTTTCTGAGATGTTTCAATGAACAAGGAGCATACTAGGAAATATATTACTTTTACCTCTGACTCTGGTCATAGTCCATTGTAGTGATCAGAAGCTGGAATGAAGATGCTATACTTATAGTGTGTGAGAGAGACATTAGGGCCCCAGGCCCTAACAGAGTTTGAAGCCTGTGGGATAAAGCGCCCTTAAGAGATAGAGCTATAGGTGCTTGTGTTTTCACCTTTGCACAAAGCCAGGTTAGTGTTTATGCTAACAAAACATTGAATAAGCCTGCTTGTGTCCTGATTTAATGGACAGAAATTAGAGAGGAGACAATCTTATAATCTCAAATTCAGTAAAAAAGCACTCAAGAAAAGATTTCTTCTTTTGATCTAAAAAAGCAATTTTCTCCGTGTACAGTGTTAACTGACATCTAAGATTGATTTGATTCGTCATACCACTATGAATCTGTCCCAGTTTTTTCTAGGGTATCACATGTAGCCCATTTAAGAGATGTGGTTGTGTCTGCTTTACTCTGTCAGATGACCATCCAACCACCTTTTTTCCTACATCACCCACCCACACCAATAACCTTCTACTCCTTTTATCTGTTTCCCTGTCCTTCTGTGTCCTTCTCTCTTGTATGGTCATTATCACAGAGAGGTCATCAAACAGCTTTGACTCTGTCAGTCTCACTGACCCTCAACTGGCAGTATTACACGCAAGCCGCAAATGGCAATCTCATAAATCTGTCACTTCAAATCCAGCTGGGAGAGAGCGATAAATTAGGGGAACATGCAGTCTCCTGCATTATTTAATATATACAGGAAGGATGAACAGGCCATGGAGCAGGTATTAGCAGGGTTAAGGAGTGACCGGATTAAAGCAATCAGATTAAGAGAATAGATTGCAGATGCCTGATAATGTGGCCATTCACATTGTGTTCAGAGGTTGCCGTGAGCTGTGCAAATACCCGTAGATGTGTACAAATAAGACAATATTGCAATAAGAAATCCATCCACCTATCCTCTGCCACTTGATCTGGTTGTGGAGACAGTTAAGCCAAGATGCCCAGACTTCCCTCACCCAGCTACTTCCTGCAGCTCTTCTGGGGGAACTCCAAGGTGTTCCCCAGCCAGCCAAAACGCAGTATGTCCAGGGGCCTCTTCCAACTTGGGCATGTCCAAGAAACCCTCACATATAAGGCATCCAGGGGGTGATCAGATGCCCGGACCACCTCAACTGTTTTGTGTTTTTTTACTGTAGAGGAGCTTAACTGCAGTCTAACACTCGTATCACAAATTTCTATCATCATTTTCATTTCCTCTCCTCATTTTTTAAAATGTCTGTTCCGCAAACAAAACTGTTCAAGGGAAATCTTCATGCACTGGAGGGTGAAAAACAGCCGGAAGAAGGAGTAATGTTTTTTTGTTTTTTGTTTTTTTTAAAAATCACAAATGAGATCCAGCTTTCTGCCACTCCTCATGCTCTACACTACAGTAGTATGAATAAAGAGTAGAGCACAAGGAATTCGATTTGTTTCAGTAGGAGATGGTTCTTACCTAAAGATCTGTGGCTTGGAAACAATGCCAAATATTATTTTTTGTTCATGTTCTGCTTCAGAAATATTTATATTGAATTTAAGTTGCACAATTAAATCCTCTTTTTATATTCTCCAAAATATAATTAAGCCCCATGACTGTCTAAACATAATAAAATAATCATTTTACCCCTACTGCTTTTGTTAATTAGAGTATCGTGTCCACAGTAGCTCCATCCTAACACTTTTATCTTAAATTTCTATCATATACACGTGACCTCCGTTTCCCTTTTTCATCATTCTTCAATCTCCACTCTGGTCTGCAAACAAAATTGCTTAAAAGAAATCTTCTTCATACACTGGGGGGAGAAAATCAGCAGGAGGAAGGACTAATATTTAAAAATCCTAAATGTGATCCAGTTTTATGGCCCTTCTTGAGTGTAGGACACAGTATTCCTTTCACAGTGGGGCAGATGATTAGGCAGAGTGCTCGGTGCTGTAAATGGATTTCTAGGACAGAATAACCGGTCCTGCTGGCCTCACTCAGGAGACAACACCCTCTCCTCCTACTGTCCCTTTTCTCTGCCTTTTGCTGTCTGTCACAAAAATACATTGTTTTGTTCCAAATTCTTCATGCCCAGAACAACCCTAAATAAAGCACGAGGCAGAAGGGGAAGTAAATTACATATTTATGAAACTATTTATAAGACTTACTGTGAATCTACAGTTTCAGCCTAAAATTCGACTTTTTTCAAAGCTACCGAGATGTGTAATTTATCTACTGTATGAACTTACTAATAGCCAGTTTTATCATGTATTCACTTTCTGGCAATGGTTTTCTGTGCGCTCTGCCATATTCAAGAGTGGATAGGTACTATGAATAAAACATTGAATCCATTAAAAAATTAATCACCTCTACCTAAGGCATAATTATGGTGCAATTCCTCCCAGAGTGTACGCGCGCATGTGTGTGTGTTTGTGAGTCAAGTGTGCATTTATAAG